TTTCTCATTAAAAATAACATATATTGTGTTTTATCAGCGTTTAAACGTAGGAGATTATTAAGAAGCCAATTAGATACTATGTTAAAGCCTTGCCGAGCGTAAAGCCTTGCTGAGCGATAGAAGTAAAAGTAAAAGTTAATATATTTTCCCTTACACTCCAAATAAATTGAATCAACAAAAGAGTAAGCTATCACAGAATATCACCGTATAACAGCAGCCGAATGCCACTGTGTTTTGTAAGATAAGAGAATGACAAAACCCCGTTTTACTGGTAAAGAGGCATTTCTCCTCAGTCAGGTAAACCCTCAGGTGTATCCTTAGTTTAGCTTAGTCCATCTGCACTTTAATTTTTAATCGAGAATATATGTAGGTGTTTTTGGGCTACTATATCTACTTTCCCTTAAGATGTGAACTGTGCGCCCGTTGGTCACCTTTTTGTAAAGAAGAAAAAAATCTTTATATTAGGTGATACCTATCGGACTTGAATTGTGAAAGTATGCGGATATAAAACCGTAAGAATCAAAACACTTCTTCGAAACTGTTATACGACAGTGGTCATATATTTGGTATTAAGTTCTGGATATATTTTCAAATCAATACTTCGAGAATGCTTGCGAATTGAATGTGTTTACTTGTTACGTGTGTTTACGTTTTACTCTTACTTCTTATTATGGTTTTAATAGAGACTATACATATGAAAGTTAGCACTTCTAGCAATTCTATATCAACTTCCGTGAAATATATCTGACGCGTAATTGTCATGTCGGCAGAGCCTATATCAATATCAGTAAATAAGAACGGCTTAACCGATGATGCCTTGTACGCGAAGCCTCCCGGTACTGACGAGTATATAGACGACTGTCGATATATTACTTGGTTATGCTATTAATTTATTGAACCGTATTTAATTTACGCATAGTATTTGATTATATTTTATTGTACATTGCTTTTATGAAAAAAAACATTAATCAGATGCTTATCACGGCGTACCACCACATACCAACCCCTTGCGTGTCGTAAGGGGTGACAGAGGGCAACTGAAACAGGAGATGTGAAGCAGCATCTTTCTGATAAGAACGCAACAATTATAAAAAAAAAACCTCTGCGTTCAACCCACCTGGCAAGCGTGTTGTGGCAAATATGGGGCATAGAGGGGAGGGGCAGTCTAGGGCGAGGCAGACTAGGAGGAACATAGATCTCCCCATAAATTGCGTTATAGATTTTTTACACACAATCATTGCGGACTGTCTAAGCTCATTGCTAAACTTAGACCTCCCCATAAGGCAGGGATCAAATCATAAGGAGAATATTTGCCATAGTCACCACGTTGTCAACTGCAGTTTTTTTCTAGTTGTTATTAAGAAGACGCTGCTACTGGTTTGTTTATCTCTGTTACCTCTTGCGTCACCCACGGGACGGTATGGGTAGTGCATTATGATATAGTACACGGCTCATTATGATATAGTACCAAGTTTTCTTTTGTTGAAACTAAGAGTTGGCCTGTCTAGAGTTATTTGACAAGGAAGCTTAACTCAAGGGTCAAGCCCCGCTGTAAAGCAGTAACCCATGAAACCAAAACCAAATTTACGCAATCCAATTAACTAAGTGGAATTTAACAGGTTGATTCCTCAACTGTAGATTATTTAATTAAATCTACAAAAAAAAAAAAGAAATAAACATTTAGAAGTGATTTTCAGTAAAATTATTTAAGTGTCTAACCTTGAATTATGTGTTGGTAACTCAGTATCCTAGAACACTGGACATTTCAAGAACAGTCGAGGCCACGTGGCCGCCCATAATACGTCAATGAATAAGGTTGCCTTAGCTTTATTTAATTTTTTTATTATTTCTTTCATAGTTTCATATAAAAGGAATGCTTTTTTAATGTTAGTTGTAAAACACTATTTAAAGTTATTATATTTTGGAGAAAAGACGTAGACATTAAATGAGTAGCGCCCAAACCATACAACTTTTATTGAATACTTACTACACACCACGACGTGCAGTACATAACGGAACCGGCGTTATAATACGCATTTATAAATTCAATATCCATAAAATAAGACATCATCAACATCTTTAAGATAATCTAATAATAATAAAAATAACTACATAATATATTATATGACGCTGCCTGTACCCACTACCTATATTTTTAAGAATTGTACAAAAGACCGTAAATCCCTCATAGAAGTAGCACATTTAAATATTCTTCCTCTCTCTAAAACTCATTTTTTCCTAATATATATATATATATATATATATATATATATATATATATATATATATATATATATATATATATTTTTATAGTAAAGCCAAATTGAGGATATTTCTGTAGCGTAATTTTGAGGAAATGGATTGGACAAAAAGACGCTGTTATAAGGACTGGTGTGTGTAAAGGCTTGCGCTGTTGACAAACTTGTTTAATTCACTTTTTGTTCAACTTTATCATGCACAGTATGCTCTTGTTCGTCCAGTGCGAATACGTCATCCTCAAGCTTCGTGGTTGACTGAAGATCTTAAAAGTTTGATAGGCAGGAAGAATAACGCAAAAATGTCTCCTGCGGAATCAATGTAACAAGATGTGTATAGATTTACGACACCGCCACATCCACAAATCAGTACAAAATGAAGATTCATGTCGTGTTTGCAACTTTTTAAGATCCATTGGAGTTGGGAAACACGTTCATGTCCTATTCCAAATAACGTCAATTTAAATATTCTTAATCATAATTTATTATTATCATAAATTATTTATTTAGTTTCTTGCTTGGACCATATGGCAAAATTGACAACACTTACTCAACTTTCGTCGTTTCCCACTCCTGTACTTTTCTCCATTTGTGTTTAGGCAATTTTGAAGTTAGGAGACACATACTCTTGATCCATTCTGACGCAGTCGGAAGTGATCACGTCAGTCGTAAAATGATCATTCCCTTGCTAGATTTTTTGACATATATTACAATCTTTATCTTTAATTTTTCCATATCCTCATCTTATTTTCCTTCCCAACGAAAGAACGCCCAAATCATTACTTTACTCAAAAAAGCATATCCTACATTTTCTGAATATCATCCCATTTCGATTCTTTCTTTTTTTTCCAAAGTCTGAGAACTCCTTGTCCAACAACAATTTAATATCATTTGTTTAACCTCTCTATATGCACGCGGTCGGATCCGACCACACCAAATTCCAAGGGGTCGGATCCGACCACACACACCCACAGCACTTTAACCCATAATGACTTATAATTAGAGACTACTTTTCTATAAAGAAGTTTGGCATTATAGGCTCAACATGAAATTTTCTATTCTCTAGTTTAATAAAAAGTTTGTTACTCTATGATTTGACATTTGTATTCTTACGTATTACTTTCCTCTATGGTATTCTGCTTTCAAATTGCGCCTAGCTTTCAACATAGGTATTTATTTGTCTATGATTGCGCCATTTGGGTGTGGTTGCTATTGTGCAATGCTGCCCTGTTTTTTTGGATTTTTTCTAAGGTAAGTACAGTGTTTTATTATAAAATTGTTATAAAAGTTTTTGTGTGAATATAATTTATCTTTTTACGTAAAAAATTTCGAGTCATATGTAGAAATAATAGTGATTTTCATGCTGCCGACATACGCCTAATTTTTAATGTTTTTTTTTGTTATCAAAATACAATAAATTCTTTTTGTAATGAAGTAAAACCACCAAAACAAGTAATATAACATAATAAATAAACAGAAACAAGTATTATATTGAAGTTTACAATGATTTTTATTCATAATAAAATTACATCAAATTCCTTGTACGGAACATATAAAATTGCAGTCTCCACAGTCGGCAAGCCATTTTGAGCTTTATTTTATGTAACTACGGCGTTGAATCCATTATTCGGCAGTGATTGGAATAGTAACGTCATATGTCAATAGTTTTTATCGATAAAGAGGTCGTATTTTGTTGGCGTAGTGTAGGGCGACCCCCACTAGATGGGGTGACGACCTGGTATCCTGGTAAGACATGCAGGAAGTCGATGGATGCAGGTGGCTTAGGACCGTGCTTTGTGGCATTACTTGGGGGAGGCCTATGTTCAGCAGTGGATTTGTGAAGGGCTGTAATGATGATGATAATGATGACATTGCTTAGTGTGAAAATTATTATTGTTTATTATTACTGTGGTGTAGTGTGTTCATGGTCACGGATCAATGTCATATGATGGGGTACCGGAGTAAAATTCTACAGATCTGTTGATAATTTTTTTTATTATATATCGACACCTGCAAGGAAAAACATCGTAAGTCACTTTTTAGCGATTTTGAGTTACGATCATATTCTCAGCAAATAAAAAATTCTCTTTCATTTGCGCTCACCCCTGTATCTAAATTCATTCGCGTTACGATTTTGGCTAGTAGAAAAATGTTGTAAGTCAGTGTCCACTGAAGGTAATAAAAAGGTATATTTAGTTACACATACTTACTTATGCCTGACATTAATTTATTACATAACAATAATTGCAATACAAGATACTCTCTTGTTCTTGGCAATTATATTTTCGTAATAAAAAAGCTTTCATCGTAAAATTGCTTACGATGTTTCAATCTTTAAACAGAAAATAAAAATATCAGTCCAAAGACTGTAACATAAGTTACAATTATTTTCTCTGCAATAATTTTCGGGTTGTGTTTGTTTAACGATAGTATTCACTATCGTTAAACAAACACAACCCGAAAATTATACTATAGTATTCACATGAATATTATGATTGACCTCATAAATATCTACATGCAGTAATTTTGAGGTATATTATTAGTTTATGTACAAACTGCAATAGACGATTTTTTTAGAAGACTAACATGTGAACAATCGAAATAATGACGTTGAGAATAATGTACCACTGGATAAGAGGATGTCACCAAATTTTGTCGAGACAGGTACGTATATAATGAAGTCCATTAAAATTACGTATGAACCTGGACTTGAAGTATGTTAGGTTTGTGTTAATTACGTTCTACATGATTGATACAATAGAAACTGGAATACGAACCTCTAAAGAACAAAGTAATGTAATAGGGAATGGAAGTCAAACTAACGCAGAAGAGCCTAGAATTTCATCACACATTAATGCTAAAGAAAAAAAGAAATATCCGAAGAAAGTTAAACCAGGAAGGAAGAGATTTTTGAATAAAGAAAATTGGAAGGCTGAAATATGTAAACGAAAGAAAAATTTGGGCGAGTAATTTATAAATAGAAAAGGGCAGTTAATAGCGAAAAAAATTATGAAACCAGACTGTGGTGCTAATTGTTCACGTAAATGTCGAGAAGCAATCACAGAAAACCAGAGAAATTTAATACTTAAAATCTTCTGGGAACTGGCGAATCATAATAAACAAATGGATTATATTAGCCGATTTGTTAGAAGAGTCCCAAAAAAACAAGTTATTGCCGCCTCGGCCTCATCCAGTAGGCGCAAGTGGTCTTTTGAATACAATTTGTTTATAGAAGGTCAAGAAATACGAACATGTAAGACGATGTTTTTAAACACCCTCTCTATAAGCGACATGTGGTTGCAGACTTTATTTAAAAAAATTGATAAGTGCTACAGGTACTACACGGCACGCGCAAAAATGCCGTTCCAGATCAAGTCAAACAATCTGTTAGAGATCATATTTCACAAATGCCATTAGTAGACTCACACTATGTGAGAAACAGAACATCTAAACAGTATCTGGATGAACAACTGAACTTTCCAATACTCTACAAACTTTATTTGGAATGGATGAATGAAAAACATTCCGATTAGGTCGTTGCGACTTCAAGACAGTATAGGGAGATATTTAAGACAGATTTTAATATAGACTTTAACAAACCAAAAAAAGACCAATGTCCAAGGTGTGATTTATTTAAAAATTCAACTGAGACTGACAAAACTAAGCTAGAGTATGAGTACGCTTTACATATTGCAAACAAAAAATGTGGTCAGGTCTTTAAAAGATAGTGACAAACACCGAGCTAAACACTCTGATTCTGTTGTAACAGCTTGTTATGATTTACAAAAAATTTTGAATACTCCTCATTCAGAAGTGTCCGTATTTTACTACAAAAGAAAACTTGCTACATATAACTTCACGATCTATGATGTGGGTAAAGATAAAGGGTATTGCTACTTGTGGGACGAGACGATCAGACGCAAAGGATCTAACGAAATAAGTAGTTTTGTATTGGACTTCATAAAAACTAGGGTTCAGGAAGGATACAAGGAGTTTAATTTTTATTCTGATAGCTGTGGCGGTCAGAATAAAAATAGGACAGTATTCGCAATGTATGAATATGCTAGCAGAATATTTAATATAAATATAAATCATTACTTCTTTGAAGTTGGACATTCACAATCAGAGGGTAATGCGATGTATGCACTTATTGAGCGAAGGAAAAATACATAAAATTATCTACGTACCTCAGCAATGGGTGACTTTGATAAGATGCGCTAAATCTAGTGGTGAGCCGTATGAAGTTAAGGAAGTAAACCAAGATAATATATTGGATTTTAAACAACTTTTGTCATGTTACAAAAATTGCGAACACGACGTTAACCATGTGAAGGTCTCCTGGAGTAAAATTATGCATATTAATTTTATCAGTAGCTTACCTAATATAATTAAATTTCAATATGATTATCTGAGCGACAATGAAATGGCTATAACTCTAGCTCAAAATATTTAGATTTCTTCAGGCAGTTACTCGTCGCGCTACCAAGGAACCTCAAAACAGTGAACAAGAGCTACCGATTTCAAAGGCTTTTAATGCACCTTTGCCTTTATCTACAGCAAAGTACAAAGATTAATTGCTTATGTAATAGCAATGCCATTCCAACAATATATCATGATTATTTTATAAATTTACCTCATGTGAAAACGATTCTACCAAATAATATCACTGATTCTGATTAAGAAGTATTGTATTTTAAAACTATTATGTATATTTTAGTAAGTTATATATAATCGAATATTAAGTATGCATACAATATAATTACTATATTGTATGCATACTAAACATTTTAAAGTATCTTACAAAATCAAACATTTAAAATTTAAAAAAAGAAAAGTCTTTGATGTACATAATCAATGACATTTCTTTTTTAATAATTATTTTTCCTTAAATTTCAAATGGTTCTTTCTAGATATTTTTGAATTTATTTTAATAATAGATAAACTGATTTTAGATAGTTGGTTAGAGATTGCAAAGACTTGTGATTGTTTATAGAGTAATAATTGTAATACTTTCTATTGCTTAAATTTGTAATTTTTGTTTCTTTAAATATTTTAAAGTTTGTTATTAATTGTGATATTCAGAATTTCATGGACCTCACTGTAATGATTATCTTAAAGTTGATTGGATAGGTACCTTAAACAGATTTCAAAAGAAAATTAAATAAAGCTTATACTAAAACATAAGCAAGAACTAACCAAAATTTGCAAAACGACATTTTTTATTATTATATTTTCTTAACTATGAAAGACTCTTTGTTTTGGTGTGTCAACATGATTTATTCCTTGCATTCTGAGATTTTTATAGTTAAAATTAATAAAGATTTTCCTAATTATATCACAATGTTTTATTCTTACATTAACTCAAAACACATAAAAATACATGTTTGGCATTGTATCTCAGACTTACATTGTTTTTCACTTAATGAAGTAAATATTAACACACAAAATTGAATTGTATGTCTCAGTTACAATGTCATTTTATAAAGTTTATGTTATGTAATGTCATTGTAACTCATAAAAAATAATAGAATACATATATTAATAACATATTAATGATATGAAAGTGTAGATTTTCCTTTGCTAACTTAAATTTTCACGGTGAGATGGCGCTAGGACTTAACAGAACTATATAAGAATTTTTTTAATCTTTGACGCGCTCTCCTGTAAAGTTGATAAAAATCAGTTACGATCTTTTTCCTTGCATGTGTCGATATTTACATGAATAATCCATTTTATAAGCATTATTCATATTACAAAAGAAGAGAAATAATTTGTTAGCATGTATTATGATATGAATACCCATGTGATATACAGTTTGGTGTTTTTATTTATTTATTCTATAACATATTACAGATGTCAAATTAAAGATCGAACAATGATCCGCCCGCAGACTTCATCCACATGCTTTATGCTGATGATGATGAAGATCTGTTGGAGGATAGTGAGTTTGAGCCAGATGATGATGAGGTCAGTATCCACATTTATGTGTTTTACAATTTGTTATTATTATTATTGTAAAATATTTTATATGTGGTAGAGCTATGCTGCAGCTATATTAATAGTATAGTTTGTAGCACAAATGGATTGGCTCGTCCGGGGAAGCACCACGCTTATCATTAATTATTATTTTTAAAATATTTTTATACGGGTTTATATAGACATTAATTATTATTTATAATTGTCGAATATAAATAATAAACTAGTAAATTTGTCATTCATTAATTTCTAGAGACTCCTTCATATATATTGATAAGTATTGATTCGTCTGACTCGGTAATCTGTTAGACCCGTTCGATAATGACAATATTAATTATATCAGTCAAATTAAATAATAATCATAATCATAATTTATTTGCAGAAAACATGGTACATTACACGTTGGTAAATTAATTAAGACCAGCATGTTTTGTTATAATGTTGACATACAAGTATTTATTACATTTTCACAACTAATATAATAAATAACATATTTTCAAATTCATCATAATCATTTTATTTCATTTAATTTAATTAAAGTAATATAATTGTAATTACTTAGTTAATTTTAATATCGATGCCTAATCCTAATCATAAATTTTAAATATTCTTCAACAGAGTAGAAGCATTGCTCCTTAAGCCATTGTTTAACAATCTTGTGAAAACATGCTTTTGGGAGTGATTGAAACTCTGTAGGCAGTGCATTGAAAATATTTATACACATAGCTAAACAATTTTTCCTATAGAGGCTAGTGCTTGGCATAACACTATGAGTCAGTCTTTCAGTATGCCTCAAGTTACTCTGTACAGTATCTCTTAACTTTTTGAACAAAAGTATATTACTTTTAACATAACATACTAAAATTAAGATGTACATATATAGCAGCATCAAAATGTGTAATTTTTTAAAATACGGCTTACACAATGAATCTGGTACCAAACCAATCATAGCTCGAATACATTTCTTTTGGACTGTAAAGGCCTTAACAGCATCTGTATAGTTACCCCAAAGTAAAAGACCATAATCAAGTGCAGAATAAATGTACACATAGTATGCCGTTAGTAAAGTTTCATGAGATGTAATTCTTCTTAGTCATGTATGCAGTCAATATATGGTCAATATGTATTTATATGGCCATGCTGCAGCTATATTAGTAGTATAATGGGTCGGCTCGACCCGGGAAGGACCACACTTAAAATATTAAAATTATATTATTTTAAATTTTTAGATGGGTTTATACAGACATAAATTATTATTAATTGTCAAATATAAATAACAAAGTAGTAAATGTGTCATTTATTCATTTCTATGGACCCGATCATATATATTGATAAGTATTGATTCATCTGACCCTGTGATCTGTTAAACCCGCTCGATAATGACAATATTAGGTAAGTATATCAGTCAACTTAAAATAATATGTTTTTCATATGCCACCAATACCTCTGGTATTATGTTTTTCATGCTTGGTTTAACACTGGTATTATGTATGTTTTGATTTGCACTAATCTCATTTTCTTTGTCTGATTTACACTTTACATTACACTTATTGCGTTTATTGTGATTTCGGTTCTAATGGTTTAAGCAAGCAAGCACACTATTGCATGTTTTAAGGAGAAGATGTGCGGAATAGACTAATATATGCTTTTTGTATGTTTAGGTGGAAGACGCGCGCGCGTCGTCACCTAAGGCTTACTCTCCTACACCACCTGGACGTCGCGAACAGCCCGGTGATGATGTGGAAGCGGCGAATTGTATTCGAGGTGATACATTTATTTGTGTTATGCTTGCATTGATACACACTAAATTTTGTATATTTTGGTGAAGTGGTGTTCATGGATATTTTTGTTTGCACCTATGTTTTAGGAAGAGAATCGTTTCCGTGACACAACACCGGAAGGCCGTGATAGGTCTCTTATTGGACCATACCAGTCATATGAGTCGTAAGTTTTATTTATTTATTTTTATTTTTTATTATTATTGATGAAATTGA